CAACCCACCTTTTCTGACTGAAAATAATGCTAATGCTGCTATTAATTATTGATTGCATCTGTGCCTACAAAGATGAAGGTGGAGATTTAGCTAACAAGTCTGTGAGAGAATTTTCTCAATAACCCTTTTCCCTTGCACAGCCTCACTGACCTTGCTGAAGGCACATTCCTCTTCCAGCAGCCCCTTTGGCTTATTTACTCCATAGTTCAGCACTAAGAGCTATTAGAGCTGACCTGATCTTTGTCAGGACACCACTGCAGCAAAACACCTGAGACATCACTAAACAATTTGCTCTGCCATTTTCCTTCTTCCCCTGCCCAGAGATGAGAAGAGCCTGACTGTGCAGGCAGAGTTATCAAGCAGGCACATTTTGAGACTCTTCTTTTTTTGAGTCTCTTTTCCCCTGTAATTTTCAATTATCTGAGCATCACCACCCAGAGAGTCTCGTAATGTTCACCAGGGGCATTGCCATATCTAAGATTATTTATCTACTTTTTTTAAGGCTTCTGTGAGGTGAGAAAGAGTTGCACTTTGTGTAGTTTCATGAGCGGGTGCATTAGCCTTTCTTCATAAATGCCTTGTTATATCCTATGGGAGAAAGATGCTATTGCTGTGATCCCTTCCCTGAGATCAGGAGGTGTGGGCAGTGCCTGCAGAGTTGTCAGTGTGTGGGTGCAGAGCAGATGATGAAGAGTTTCCAGAGCAAAAGGAGTGTGTGAAGGACATAGACTACATCCCATTGAAAATTTTCTAATTGTGAATTCAATTGAAATGGGAGCAAAGGGTAAAGATAACAGTGATGGAGTCAGACTTTCTTGGGAACCCAGTGTTAGAAACATCAAGGCTTCAATATTCACCGCCCTTAGAGCCGTCTGTTCAGATCAATACTGTGCTGGCCTTCACCAAAGCTGAGGTTTAATCATCTGCTTACTTTGGATTCAGCCAAGCCTGTAAAAACTCAAATTTCTTCGGCTAGGCATATTTGAGAGGTTAAATATTCAAAAACTAGGAAAAGCTGAAGTTCAGGTTTAAGTGCTTTCTTACTGTGCCAGGGGCTTTACCAGTCACTCCTGAACTGTGCAATTGTTCTGTTATGACGTTATACCTTTAAGTTTTGTTTGTTCAGGTTGTTTCTGAAGCAGTGGATCTAACTAACCTTGCAGCTTTGTGGCCTTTGTATTTTTCTCCCTGCCCAGCTGAACTGCAAAGGTCTCCAGGCTTTCCCCTTACCATTTAATCAGTGCCTTCAGTCCTTCTTCCGCTACTACAGAACATGAAGCCTTTCTCCTTCCAGGCTTCATTTCCTTCTACACATGTGCATTCTTCCAAACTATTTCCAGTTTCAGCAACACACCATTGAATCTAACTCCTTTCTCCCCTCTTTCCCCTTACACCCATTCATAAACACACACTCTCTCTTCTCAGCACCCCCATCACCTACCAAAAATGTCAGGTTCAGATCTACAAGCAAGGTATCTGAGCCATGGTGTGTTTGCTTGGGACAGACATCAGCCAGGAGGACAGACAGAATGATTCAGAGTGCAGCAGGCATTGAGAGCTTATTTCTTTGTGTCTGAGCTCAGCTCTGGTCTCAAATTGGTGGAAAACATCCAAAGGTTTATGTGCGAGTGGAGAGAGCATGCAAGGATCTCTCCACTAGAAGATGGGAGCTACATAACATAAGCGCATGTGCTACATTTTTCTGTACAAAACCGATGATGAGTTCCGAATCAAGCACTTACTGAATGACTTATCACCTTACTTTTGTATTGGAGAAGGGGGAAAAAAGATGTTTTGCTTTGAAAAGTCCAGGTTGATTTTTGGTGTGCTGAGTGGTGGACTAACTTTTCAGGAGATTATGGCCAACAAGAACACCGGGGCCAGGGTGACAACCCTCTGTAGGGTGCACCCTCTCCAAGTGCTCCACCTAGAAGGAGTGATGAAAGGGAAGGGGAATGATCAGCTTCCACAGATTTGTTTCTTAGTTTCTGGTGCTGACCTGTTCATTTCTTTGGTGTTCCCAGTAGGCAGGGCAAGCAGAGTACATGTCCTTTGTACTAACCGATAGACCATGGCTGCATTCCTCCTTCCTCAAGAAATCAGGTTAAAAATGGCTATTTTCTATCACCTTTTACTGTGAAATAGTCTCCTGTCCTTATTTTATCCGAGCGCTTACAAATTCAGCTTAAAGATCCTCCCTTACCTCCAATGATGTGGTGGTGACCAGTAGGAGTCCTTTCTAGCAAAACGCTAACGTAGCTTTTTAGCTAAAAGCTTGCAAGTAGCATCATCAATTGCTCAACTGCTTCTCATCCTCCCCTAAGATCAGGCTGCCTAGCCCTGCTTTTTCCAGTTCCATCTGCTTTCAAGCTAAGAAGAAAGCTGTCACCCAGATCAGGGCTTTGTCCCATGAACTGGAATCAGTAGGTGTTTGGTCTTTGCTTTTAGTGATTCTACAAATGAGCTGGTAGCTATATGCTTTGACTCCATCTATTTCCCACCTGCTGCTAAAACTTATTGTTCCTGCTGTAGGAAGGATGAGCTTCTCTCTTCTCTCTACCCCACTGATATCTAGTGACAAGAAGAAATGGGAAGGGGCAGGAGAGAGAAAGGAAGCAGATGAGAAAGCTTTCCTACTGAGCCTAAATCACTGTGCTTTCATTATGAAACCTCCCTAACACGCTAGCCAGTTTCACTAATGCTTTCCACTTTGATAACATCTTCCATCCAGAAATCTTGCAAAGAGCTAGAAACTCACACTAATTTTCAGTCTTGCTATATCTGATTCTGCAAGATGTGTGCAGAAACCAAGGAAAAGTAGAAAAACTGAGATTTGGCAAAGATCATTCTCAGAGTCTGTAGCAGAATGAGGAATGTTCCTCAGGGTCTGCAGCTCTAGTTTCTGTGTCTTGTCCACAAGACCTTCATTTCACATGTTACTGTTCATAAGTCTTAATTCTAACACATATGTATGAAAGTTAAAGTATTCTCTTCTAATAGGCTATAAAGCTAAGTACAATACAAAAATCTGGCAAGCAATTGACAAAAAGTACAGAGAATATTGTTATTCTTCCAGAGGAAGACAGCTGAAATACTGCAGAGAAAATAATCTCTCTGCCTCCTCTCTTTTTAAAAGGTAATCTTCACACACCCTATTCACCACATCGTACTCATTTCTGTATGTACTGAAATTTCAGAATAGTCATTCTGGAAACATTTTTGTTACCATTTCAGCTGAAGGAGTGGGCTATAATTTACAAACTTTGAGGAATTATTTTCCAGCTGTGTTTTAGTTCACTTTCAGAAAAGAAGAGATTATGTTTATATATAGAAGTCTTTATATAATTAATGTTAATTTGCACATGTTAATGAAGATGATTATTAGCAAAGCATTGTAGTTTTGTTCCTGCTGATTCTGACAGATGAGTTGAATAACATTCTGCTGTAATCAATGTAACATAATTTGTCCCTATTTTTTTCTAAGCATTCACATCTATTTTTCTAGAGGGTTTTTAATGAAGCCAGCACATGATGACAGACTCATAAGCAGGCTTTATCTGCCAAATAGCTTCATGTATTTTATTTTACGTATTGCTAATACTCTGTAAAATTAAACATGACTTGCTGCTAATAACTCACTGTGAAAAATGACAGACTTCTTTTTGGCTGGAAATCAGTTCACAACAAAATATGCAGGAAGCCTGACCCCATTCTTCACGGGTTCACAACTAATATTAGTAAGATAATACTACTTAGGGAAAAGCCCAGACACTGTCATACTTCAGGAATCAGCTGAAGCAATTAGTAGCAATGGGAGACAGCTTAGAGAATTTTTATATAGCTGTTGTACTTCTCTGCACCCAAAAGGGCTTCTTCTCCTGGGAGAAGAGCACATACACATAAACAGTTAGTAGGGAAGAAGAGGCCAGCATTGCCCATCTTGCACACATCCTACGAGCTCTAAGTTTTCTGCTGTGCATACACTAGTACTTTTAGTTAGAAGTGACTTGCTGACACCAAGCTACAACAAATCTGTAACGTTCAGCAGTATTCAGATCAGGGAATCAACTCTCTTAGGACATTGTCCCTGTTCAGATAAATCCTTCTATTACCACAAGCTTTTTTCTTGGTAAATGATTTGCTTACTGTGGACAGTTTTTGGAAATCTTCTGTGTCCCAGTCTTTGAGCCTCTAAGTCTTTCTTTGGAAAGGCTACATAAATTCCTAATACTAAGATACCTAGGATAGTCACCACTTCCAAGCATACAGCTAATACATATATATAATATAAATATGTACTACTGCATGCTCATACAGGCCACCAAACTCACCACAGGAGAGAGGTGCTTGCTTGAAGCCATTCATATGTTTCCAGGTGGAACAAGTGAAGTTCACCTCAGCAGTGGTGCAGCTGCTGAGTGAGTTGTATGGAACTGGGTCTACCAAATAACATTCCTTTGCTGACTATGTCCCCTTGTGGAGCCAGCACATGTAAGCTAATACGCTGGGGTTCAACCCCTTCTGGGCAGCAACAGAAATGTCAAGTTCCAATGAGTCAAAAACATGCAATTGTATTGGTGACAGTAAAGGACTGAAGCTACTGGTATCATTGCACTCATTTGGAGAGTGTACAGCTGACATACGCACAAGAGCCTCTAATGAGTACAGAATGTGTACTTTTACTGGTGACGAATAATGCATCTAGGCCCAATCTCAGCAAAACAGATAAGATTTAAAAAAAACAAACTGAAGCAAAACCAAACCAAAACAAACAAGAAAACCCCAAATTTGTTCTGAAAACTATTAGAGGCCAGTATAAGGTTTCTTCTGCCATTTGTATTCTGTATAGATCATATACAATGATACAAGCCTACCTTGCTTTGTTACAATATTGTATTTCAGTTAGTATTAATTAACTACAAGCCAAAAACCTAAATGCTTGAATCATCATCCTTTTAAAACATGCTTGCTGGAAGATGACTTTGCGCTTTTGTTCACAGGAGGAAACTGAGTGTCCTTCATCTCTCTCTGTTATCAAAGAGAGGACAGCAGGGGAAACTCTGGAGGACGATTTCTTCCCACCTGATGATCTGTCTTCTGATGAAGAATATTATATTGAAGAAAGCAAAGCTACGCAGTTCAAGAAATCAGGCATGAGGCGCATAGATGATATCAAAAAGGCATTCTCAAGGGAAAATATCCAAAAGACAAGACAAAATTTCGGAAAGAAGGTAAACAGGCTTCGAACTAGAATAGTGACCCCTGAGAGGAGAGAGAGGATAAGGCAGTCAGGAGAGAGACTGAAACAATCTGGGATAAGGATCAAGAAAACCATTTCACAAGCTGCCCCAACGAAGGAGACGTTCAAGATCCATAAAAAAGGTAAAGAACGAACAGGAGCTGAAGGTCAGGAAGGGATCCAGGAAGCTGGTGTGCACATCGCCTCTGAGCTCGCAGCAGCAGAGCCTTTCACTGAAGAAATCTCTTACACAGAAGTGATCACTAAGGTAAAGAAAGACAAGAATAGTGCAACAAAAGGTGCTTCCCAGACAACTGAAAAAGGAGTGACAATCCCAGAAGTCGTTCTTAAGCAGGAAGGAAAAGAAGGAGGAGGAGGAGGTGATGATGTCCCTTTGCTAGACTTACAGCAATCAGCATACAGAATCAACTAGCAAACACCCCATACTATCCTTACTGAACAAGAAAGAACACAGGATGTATTCACTCAGCTTTAGGAAAATGTGTGTATTTGTGTTATACCACAAAAAATGTGTTGGTGTTGTTCTATCATTTACATGGGTGTCTATAGTGTTGTTCGCCTGAAAAAAGCCAAGCCATGCAAATGAAGGAATGGGGCTCCCCCTCTGTCTTGCAATGTGCCAATAGCCATTATTAACCCAAATGGAACTCGCATGTCAAAGGGAGATGGAAATCTGCTGGATTTTCAAGATTGACTTAGCAGTGACCACCTAATCACTCTTTAGTTTTATGTACAACAGGATAACAATTATTTCTTCTATCTTACACCAACTCCTGTAATCGAAAACAGTGACAAAGGTATTGCTTCATACTACTAAATGAAAGAACTATGGAAAACGTGGATTTAGCTATACAAATCTTTTCATTTAAGGGCCCTCATTGAAACAGCAGGAGGAAGAAATTCCTGCTTTATCCAGGGTGTGACAAAATGTGGCAGGAATGATAGGTTTTTGGGTAAATTGTGTTTCTTCTCAGTGGAAAATAGAAGCTCCTGAAATGACTAAATATTATTTCTGGAGTTCTGGAAGAAGAAGGTTTGATGTACGTAAGCAATGCATCTTCTGCACTTATGGAGTAAGAATAAAAAAGCAGAAGACACATTAAATATAATTAGCAGGAAGAGAATGAGGTATCATATTCATGTTTTGGAATGATGAGATTGCAAGAAAGGCAAAGGTATGAAGCAGTAAAAAAAAGGAATAAGGTTAATGCATGGGTTCTGGATAAATAGAGAAAAGGTAGAATATTATAACTGAATATAACTGAAGTTTCCTCAAGGTCTTTCAAAGAATTGTTACTTTATCCAGAGGCTCGTGACCATAAGTGACCAGACAAGGGAAATGGTTTGTTTTTCATTCTCTGTGCTTTTTCTGAGCTTCACTGCAATTAAAATCTATTCTACAAAGCCGCTGAAGCATAAGGCCAATCTATAACCTAATTCTTTGTTTCCTATCATTATCGTTATCAACCAGCCACAGCCTCAGGGATTATGAGACAGACACCCTTTGGAGTATGGAATGCTGTTTATTTGCAACACTTGGGAGCCAGTGCCCTGACATCAGATATGTTTGTAAACATGACCGCTACACTGACATGAGGTGCAGGACAGTATTGCTCTCTTCATTCTCAAATGGAGTTGCCTTCAAAGCACTTATCTAAAGCAATGTTAGTCATTACTATCTGTGTGAAAGAAACTTGTACAATATTGCCAAAAGCTGTATGATTGTATTTATTATCTCAAATTCATTTTAACAGCAGAGCATAACTTGGTTATCTATATACATTGTTTGAGGACTCTCAGCCAATTGTTAATCTACAATTTAAATATAACTAGCTTGATTTCAAACATTCTGCCTGCCAGTTCTTTCATTTAGCCTGGTGTACATCACATTTGAAGTGGGACAGCTTTAGCAATAGTAACTAGGGACCATTGGTTGGGGAAGGTCAATGTTATACCGTGCCAGTGACATTTAAAATCAATGTTGTCAGACTGGAAGCGGCAACACTACCGAATGGAAGGATTGCATAGGGCAAGAGAGGGAGACAGGGAGAGGAAGACGCTTCCTTCAACAGTAAATTGCACATCTTAACTCTACTGTAATTACATGCAAAAAGGAAAAAAGGTTTTGCTTATAGGATAGACTGGAGGGTTTGTTTGATTGTTCTTTTTACTAGTTATAGGAAGTCTTTTCTGGAACCAGGCAACTGTATGTTCTTTTTCAGTGAAATACTGTCATTTGTCTAATTCTTCTATAATTTACCTGCATCTATTCTGCAAGATTTGACTTTTTCTTAAACACATAAACAAGATTTAGTTACTGAAATGAAAATGTCAAAGTTCAAAGAAACTATTTCTTTGCATTTTTATACAAGAGAACACTAAGTGCTAGAACATAATTGCCCATTGATTTTCTTTATGCAGCATTTTGCTTATTTTACTTCACAAAGAAAGGAAGTGATGCAGTTTTGTGAAGTTTATCATGTAGCACTGCATATAACCTCTATCAAATGTGTGGTTGTTAATGTTTACTTCTAGCCTTAGCTGTTCAGATGGAGTTCTTCCAGGGCCTCAAAGCATTTCCATGTATGCTTTTCATTTGAAGTTATTATCAATGTTACTGACTTGAATTTTACATCTACAAAGAGCTCAAAGTTAATTTACTCCATATTCCCTCCTACAGGTAGAGGATGGGGAGAATTCATGGTTTAAGCCGAGCTGGTAACTCAGCACCACACAGCTGTTTGCTTACACCTCCCCATTTAGCCCCCTCTGGGCTGGATGGGGAGGAGAATTGGAAGAATGTAAACCCCACAGGTTGAGAAAAGAACAGTCCAATAAAGTACAATATAACACTAATGATAATAATAATAATAATTATAAGGGAAATAACAAGGGGAGAGAATATAAAACTAAAAGGGGAAAGAAAAAAAAACAATAAACACAAGTGATTCACAATACAATTGCTCACCACCTGCCGACCAATACGCAGCCCGACCTGAGCAGCAATCTGGGCCTTCTGGGTAACCCCCCCCCTTTTCTATAATGGGCATGACATGCTGTGGTATGGAATATCCCTTTGGCTAGTCTGGGTCAGGTGTCCTGTCTCTGCTTCCTTCTGGCTTACCGTGCCACTCTTCACTGGCAGAGCATGAGACTGAAAAGTCCTTGATCAGGGTAAGTGCTACTGAGCAACAACTAAAACATTGGTGTGTTATCAGCATTATTCTCAGACTAAAACCAAAACACAGTCCTGCACCAGCTACTAGGAAGGAGAAAAATAACTGTGACAGCTGAACCCAGGGCAGTAGAACACTACGGTTTACAACCTCAATTTCTATACAACAGCAGAGATTTTGCTGCTAGAATTCCCCTTTATCTTGTTCAGAATTTCCAAGAGCAATGAATTTAATCCCAATCCTCAAACCAAAAAATTCTCAATGAAATAGGCTGATGTACAGCTGTACTGCAGGGGGGCCTGATGTGCCTCTTCTGAACAGGCGGTTTCACTTGGTAAAAGAATCTTGCTGGCACTCGTTGTGAAACAAGTGCTGCTCCCAGCTCAGTTGGAGAAAGGGACCCTGTCACTGTCTGCTCTGTTTTCCAAGACGAAATCTGGCACTTTCTGCTTAGCTGTGGGTGGGAGTGTGAATAACAAACTTCCTCGCCAAAGGAGTCCTGCAATTACTATCTGCGGAGTAAAACTAGTTATGGGAAAGGATGAACTACTTTCTTAGACACCAGCTGAAAAGAAATTGAAGTGTTTATACAGAAAATTAGTGTTTACAAGGAGAAAAAAAAATGATTAACAAAGCACCCACTGCAAGTCCTTCTTTCATAACATCCAACAGCAATTTCTTTTGCTTTGAATTTGTGCTAGTGAAAAAAGACAAACATGTTTTCCACCAATATGTGTCTGTCTATTAAAACAGAAATAGCAATCACCCTTCAGTTACAGGGTAGACAGCGATGGTCATAACAAACAAAAATTACTTCTGCTATTTCAGGTGAATCTACTCCCAGAAATGGCCTGCATATTTTTCTTCTTTTTTTTTTCACCTAAACTGGTGCAAAATACAGAATAGAAAGCAGTTACAAGGTTTGAGTCTGCAGGATTTGGCACTAATGCCAATGGAGCAAATACTGATAGAGCCAAACCGGTGTTCATATGTGTTTACTCTAAGGGTGCCATAACTTTTTCTTGCTAATACTGCAGAGGCGCACATCTTACTTAATGGGCTTTATGTTTAGAAATGAGTTAACACATGCAAAGGCTACTACTAGTGCAAAGCTGAACTCACCTGTTTGTACAATTTCTATGATCCCGTAAACAAGTGCCTATTCAAGGAAATGGTAGCATCCATTTGTAAAACCACCCAGAAATTTTACAAACGCAAAATCAAAGGAACTGTGCATTGGAGTATTTGCAGATAAACAGAAAGTTTTACCACATGTTTAACTCACTTGCCATTACAGCTTTAATAATGCTACGGATGAAAAGTTTTCAACTACAAAGTTGGATTTTAAAAGAATTATATTATGGAAAAGTCTTGTATGAAGAAGAAAAGACAAAACCTACAAAAGAACCACCATAAATGTTGAAGCAGTTGTCAGTATCATAAGCACTTTTTTCCTAGCTAGCTATTCCATTATGATCAAGCTAGTTGATTATATTCTCACTTGCTTCATAACAGTTGCCAAATTTTACACCTGCAGTTGTTTTCCCTCTGGTATTTCCAGGATAAATAGACTCAGTATTTTTGCTGTGAGCAGAGTAAACTGATCTATGAGCAATTAACACAATCACTTGCTAATTCTCATACCCCTGTGAGAAGGTAGCCACCACTTTGACAATAACAACTAAAGTCCTACTGGCTCCAGATTAGTCTTCCTAGGTGGCTCTTTTTTAATAGCTCTGTTCTTATTTTGAGCTGCACAGTAGTGCAACCCCCCGTAAAGTCCAATGATCAGGATTCTGCACTGTTTTCAGATTCAGAGAGAAAATGTATGTCAGATCTGTTCTCTGGGGCTTTTTGTAGACAGGGCAGGAGTACACACTTCCTTGTTGCTTCTTTGGATCAGGTAGTGCTGTTGTGCTAACAGCATACACGTGTACTACAGGAAGACTTGTGAGCAGCACCTGAAAATGTTAAAAGAGACACAGGGCTCAGCATTAGAGAAGCAGGATAGGGTGTCTGAACTCCAAACACTAGAACTAGATTCAGTGGTAGCCTTCAGTAAAAGCACCAGCACCTCAGCAGAGGTACATGAGAGAACATGTGTCCCATGCTCACTTCCATATTGACCCCAATGTAAAGCCAGTGGGCAGCTCAGGGACAACAGACATCTGGAAGCCTGGAAGGAAGAGAAAGCAGCAGAAACCTGGAAAACTGCACACCATTGAAGTAAATGGAAAAATGACAGTGTGGTTCTAGGAGAGAAAAAGAAAGACCATTGTCTTTTTTCCCATCCCTCACCCCTTCGGCTGAGTTCCCTATTTTTAACCCACCTCCTGTTCTATGAATGGCAGGACTTGAAGCTACAAACGTCACACTGCTTTTAGTAAGCCTCCTTGTTACCCTTGCACTGCTGGCAGTGGACAGTCAAAGTTCCAAAGGGCCTCTTGGGTATTATTCCAGACTAGATCCCCTCCGGTCTAACATCAATAGAAAGTACTCATTGGCTGGGGGGTAAAGCAAGACTCAAACACAAGAGGAACATGGAAGCTCTGTGAACACTCCAGAGCACCTGGGTAAACTCCATGTTTGAATGTGTATTTTGGCAAAGCAGGCAACAGAAGCTACAGCTGGCAAGGTCTGGTTTAGAGAAGTTTGTTATCAGCCAGATGCAGAAGTGTTTTACCTACAAAGAGTAAATACCTCAACTCCAGTTCCAGGACAGTTATCATTGATTTGGCAGCTTTCCCTGGGTGGTGACTACAGGATCTAATCACTAATCCATAGCTAGATTTTAAATCTGCTTAGTCACGTCAGGAAAATATAACTTCATGCACAGATAACTGAGGGTAAGCCCAGAACTAATACTCATCCTCCTATTCAAAAACAAATGTAGGGGCTTCTAGTCATCCAAAACAGTGACCTCCGCAGCAGCTGTGATCAGACCTAGTCCTGGGCTTCGGAAACTGTGGTAGGGCCCCACTTGGTCAGTCAAAAGAAGGCTGACTGGGGGATGCACTACTTTACTTAAACACAGCTGTGCTTCTGAGGTCCCTGAAGCCAAGAAGCCCAGCATCTGTTTGCCGTAGTGCAGTGCATCCTAAAATAATTTTCTGACAGTTTTCTTTATTTGGTTCTGGTGGGTAAACACTGTCCTCTTCCCACCCCTCCTAAAACCTGTTCTACCCTCTTAAAACCTGTTGTGAAAACACTGCTGCAGGCACTCAAAATGCCTCCTGGTGTTCTCTGAGCACACCACATTATGTCACAGCTTGTTTTGCTCACTTCATGCTCACCTTTGGTGCTGCCTCCACCAGCTTACTGTTTTTGCGGTCCCAACCTGCCCCTTCGAGGAAAAGGCCATATATGTAAACCCCACCAATGTCAGCAGGAGGAGGGCCAACAACATCTTCTTTCATCATCTTGGTCACTTCATTGTGTAAAACAACACTGTCGAGTGCCCAGCCTTTTGCTAAATTCATGCGAGTTGTCTCTTGCCTCATAGCAGTTAGGAATCCCTAAGGAGATTGAATATGACATAAAGGGTTTAAAACAATCTTCAATTTACCCATTTCCAACCTTTTTTCCTATATAAGTGACATAAGCAGTATAAAACCTCAAGCCACAGAATCTCATGTACATGTGAAACTAAATTCAGTAGTGTAAATTCAG